GACCCCCCTCCCTTTATTACGAAATCTGGAGTATGCTCTCCAGCCTCTGACAGCCAGCTCCGACGCGCGCGCGGCCACGCCCTCCGGGCGGCAAACAGTGAGCGAGACGCGCGCGCGCGGGCCGGCAACTTCCGTGCACCTGCGCAGAACGAGGTGCCCCCGCGTCGGTGAAGGCGGCAGGGAGGAGCTATTTGTAAAGAAAAGGGATGCAGGAGGAGGAGGAGGAGGAGGGCGAGAAGGAGGATGCAAGCTAGGTGCTCTCGCGTCATATCTGACGTCGTGCCCCTCCCTCCCATCCCTTACCATGGCGTAGACATCCTCTCCGAATTTGCGGAGAACACGGAGATGGAGCCAACGCTGAGACGGGAGCGGCATTGCGGAACAGCCCGAAGTGCGGAGACAAAACAAAAAATGAAGCGACATGGCTGGAAGGATCGACAATATTCGGATTGGACACGGCACAAGCAAACACAGGCGTTCAATGAGAGCCAACTCTGCAGCTGAAACACGATGTGAAAGATCCGCAGCAAAGAAATGAGGTCAGCACTGCAGTGGGAATATGATTTGGAAGAACCGAAAGCCAGAAAATGGAGCAAACGCTGCAACGGGAACGCAATACTGGAAAACCAAAACCGTTCGGATTGGAAAGACACATGATCGATCACCTTTGGGGGATCCTCGGAGGGGGAGCAGGCTACGACCTCGGGGCCGCCGGGGGAGAGAGGAGAGTATTATTCAGATTGCGTAAGTGTAGGGAGTGGAAAGGAAGGAGGAAGGAGGAAGGAGTGGAGGGGCGGGAGGAGGGGGAGAAGAGGAGGACGAGGAGGGAAAAAAGGAGGAGGAGGAGGAGGAGGGAGGAGGAGGATAAGGAGGGGGAGGAGGACAAGCTAGGTGCTCTCGCGTGATATCTGTCGTCATAGCACTGCCGTCCAACCCTGGCGCAGATCTCCTCTTTATGTACACAGGCTGATGTGGAGCAAGGCAATGATCCCGAGAGGGTTTGCGACGCATGGTAAAGCACGGCATAGTATGGTGTAGAAGAGCGCGGCAGAGCAGAACATGTCATAGCATGGCTTCGCATTGCGTAATGTAGTATTGCATCACAAAGCTTAACATCACAAAGCATGGCACCGCACAGCAAAGCACAACGCAACATCGCATTGCATGCCATTGTATGGTACCAGATGCCTTGGAGGGGAAATGGCCCGTGCACGAAATGAGAAGGCCTGTCCGGAATCCTGGCTCCATGTCCTGCGCAACCGTGCCTGCCCGATGTGGGCGCTTTCGAATGCCAAGTGCCGCCTGGTAGGGTTACTGTAATAGCGTAAGGCCCCCCCCCTTCCTTTCGACACGCTGCCTTGCGTTCCCCGAGCCCCCTTCCAAGTCTCCCTGGGCTCCCCGGACAGCTCTGCACGAGGCGTGGCGGATGGCCCGAAGACTTCCGGACGCTCCTGGGAACGCACAGAAATTGCCGACGGCGACAGCGACGCAGACGACGACGGCGACGGCGGCGGGGGAAGCTACGGCGGGCGAGGACGGATGTCAGGGAATAGTACGGCGGTCTGCCAGGCTCGAGGGTCTGGCTTCCTTGAACAATCGGCTCACACTGGGCCCCTGGACTCACGGGGTCAGGTCGGATCGGCGTTTTCCAGCCGGATCGTTTGTAAGGTCCGTGGGGAGCGTTTCTACGACCCAAAAAATAAACAAATCGACACCGAATGTGGAATCACTTCCGATGGTTTTTTCGGGGGACATTGTTTTAGATTTGGGGGCCAATATTGAAGGACCGAAAACCATGCCGTGGCATGGCGCTGGAAATGAAGACGCCAGCGCTGCAGCGGGAGCACGACTCGGAACGAGCGGAAGCGCCGAAATGAGGCCAGCGCTGCAGCGGGAACGCGATTCGGAGGACGTGTAGCCTGACATAGCATGACGTGGCGAAGCCCCAAAGTGGTGGGGGCTTGCTTCTGCGGCCCCAGCAATCAACGAATCGACACTGACTGTGTAATCACTCCCGATGGTTTTTTCAAGGGACAATTTTCTAGATGTTGGGGCCTATTTGGAAGGACCGAAAACCATGCCGTGGCATAGCGCTGGAAATAATGACGCCAGCGCTGCAGCGGGAGCACGATTCGGAACAAACGGTAGCCCGATAATGAGGCCAGCGCTTCAGCGAGAACAGCATTTTGACAAAAACATAAATAAACAACTACACAAAAAACAATACTCAAAAAAACGAAAACACAATTCCTAGGAATTCTGTGTAGAAAACAAGTACGCGGACGGGGACGGACATTTCCCAGAAGACAGCAGGGGAGAGAGGAAAGTGGTATTCAGATTGAGTAACTGTGGGGGAGAAGAAGGAGAAGAAGGAGGAGGAGGAGGAGGAGGGAGGAGGACGAGGACGGAGGAGGAGGAGGAGGAGGAGGAGGAGGAGGAGGAGGAGGAGGGTGGAGGAGGAGGAGGAGGAGCAGCAGCAGGGAAGACTTGGGGGAGAAGGGAGGGAGTGGAGGAGGAAAACTGAGGAGCAGAACTGGGAGGAGGGGGGAAGGAGGTGGCGGAGGAGGAGGAGGGGGGGAGGAGGAGGAGGGAGTGGGGAGGGAGGAGGAGCGAGGAGGGAGTGGGGAGGCGGAGAGGCGGGGAGGCGGGAAGGGGCCCGCGCCAGGCCTCCCTGTCCAGGCCCACGCCAGGCCTGCGGCGCACAGCGCCTCGACGTGCTCCCTCCGCCCAGTCGTGAGGGGGAGCGACAGGGGGGGCACTGGCTCAGGTCTAGGGGGGGGGAGGAAGGAGGAGGAGGAGGAGGGAGGAGGAAGCAGGAAGGAAGGAGGAGGGAGTGAGAAAGGAGGGAGGAGGAAGGGAGGGAGCGAGCCCCCCCGAGCCAGTCCCTTCCTAGCGGCGCCCAAACAAGAACCAGCACAAAAGCCGGCGCAAGCATGACGCCTTCGGACCCCATCAGGAAGCCTCGGCGGCCCTCGCAGAGCTTCCGAGCCCGCCTGGAAACCTTCCATGGGCGCACTGGTAATGCAAGGACCCTCCTCCTCCTCCTCTCCTCCTCCTCCTCCCTCCTCCTCTCCTCCTCCTCCTCCATCCTCCTCCTGCTCTTTCTTCCTCCTCCTCCTCCTCCTCCTCCTCCTCTCCTCCTCCTCCTCCTCTCCTCCTCCTCCTCCCTCCTCCTCCCCTCCTCCTCCTCCCTCCTCCTCCTCCTCCTCCTCCTCCTCCCCCTCCCCCTCGGAAACAAGAGTCAGGGATGGGAAGAAACCCCCTTCTGCAAAACACCCTTTAGTGCAAGCGACTCGGTGCCATACCCAGCGGGCGCAGACCCGCAAACATTGCGGCCACAGCACCCTCTCGAGAACCAAAAAGCGGCAACCGGCCAGTTGGCTTGATGGGGTGGAGCTCGTCTCGACCTCCGATCTGGGATGGGAAGTCTCTGGGCAGCGCACAGATAGCTGCCCCAGGTAGCGCCAGTTGGCCCCAACAGGCTCCCCGAGTGGTCCCAGCTGGCCTCAACCAGCCCCCCCGAGTAACGCCCAGGGAGGTCCCGAAGGCCTGCGAATTCTGGGAAGGCCTTCCTTAAGCTGAATTATGGGGAAGGTTGGGGAAGGAGGAGGAGGAGGAGGAGGAGGAGGAGGAATAGGCGGAAGAGGAATAGGAGGAGGAGAAGGAGGAATAGGAGGAGGAGGAGGAGGAGGAGGAGGAATAGGAGGAGGAGGAGTAGGAGGAGGAGGAGGAGGAGGAGGAGGAGGAGGGAGGAGGAGAGGAGGGAGGAGGGGAGGAGGAGGAGAGGAGGAAGGAGGAGGAGGACAAAGAGGGAGGAAGGAGGAGAAGAGGAGGAGAAGGAGGAGGAGAAGAGGAGGAGGAGGAGGAGGAGGGGACCCCCACAATTCCGAGGTATGGGGAGCCCATGGCCGGACGACCGCCAGTCCGCGACGCCCCCCACCCTCGGAGGCGCGGAGCGCCCCAGGGGCGGCGGCGCCCGCAGGGTGCCGAAGCCGCCGCCCCAGAACTGAGCATCTTCGGGGGGGGGGGGGGGGGGGGGCAGCCGAGGCCGGCTGGGACACGCCTGCGCGGGGGGCCTCTGCGGAGGCCCGCTGGGAGGGGGGGGGGGGGGGGCAGCCGAGGCCGGCCGGGACACGCCTGTGCGGGGGGCCTCTGCGGAGGCCCGCTGAGGCTGCCTCTGGGTCGGGCGTCGCTCCTCCAGGCGGGCTCTGGACGAAGGGCAGAAACGAGTCGGACACAGCCTCTCGCACTGTCAGGAGGTGGTCGAAAGATCGCGCCCAGTCCTTCCAGGGGGCCTGCGAAGGCCCGCCGGGACCACCTTTGGGTCGGGCCTGCCCTCTTACGGAGGTGGATTTTGGACGAGGAATGAGAATTTGCCAGGAAACAGATTCTCAAATTGTCAGACATAATCGAAAAATCGTACCCAGACTGTTTTTGCGACTGTGTTTGAATGCTCCTCCTGGGACATGCCCGATTTGAGACTACTTTTGGAGGCTGCCTCATCGCAACCCAGCGCCTCACCCATCTGGGAAGCGAGATCCGCTCAGAATCGGTCCCCAGACCCCTCCAGGAGTCTGGACGCACCAGTCTTTGTCGAGACGCGCCCAGCCAAGGCGACGATAAGCCCCCGGGAGGTCCAACAAAGGCGAAAGAGGCCCCCTTTTCCCCCCCTCCCTCCCTTTCTGCTGGCCGGGACCAATGCTGGTCCCCCGAAGTCTCGCCCCATTCCCTGGGGCCGATGATCATCCCGCATCGTTGATTGACAGTCCTCCTCCTCCTCCTCCTCCTCCTCCTCCTCCTCCTCCTCCTCCTCCTCCTCCTCCTCCTCCTCCTCCTCCTCCTCCTCCTCCTCCTCCCCTCCTCCTCCTCCTCCTCCTCCTCCCCCTCGTCCTCCTCCTCCTCCTCCCTGCTCCGCCCAGCCGAGTCCAAACTCCGCCCCGCCCGCTGGCTGGACGCCGTCGCCGCTGGGAGCGCGGGGGGCGCGCGGCTGGGCGGCGGAGCGGCGCCTGGGGCGACGGAGCGCGGCTGCCGTCGGCCAGCGAGTCGAGCCGCGCGACCATGCCTTCGACCAGATCTCCGACGATGTGATTCCCAGTCATGCTCCCAGAGATCCAACGCATTGAAAAAAATCACGACGGAGATTTTTCGCAATTTTCGGCCTGTAGGGGACCTTCCAGGCCACGAGACCGTCACAGAACGACTCAGGATGAAAAACCGGTCCTGGTGAATGGGTCGAGAAATCAGGACGGGAGGTTCTTCTCACTGTTCGACCTCGCCAAAGCCCTCGCTGGGCCCCGGGGCCCTCAGAAAAAACTCGAGGTGAACAACCGGCCCGGGGGAAAGGGTCGGGACGTCCGGGGACCGTGCACTGAAGAAATCAGCACGTCGCATGTCTGGGGACCAAATCTCCGGGGGCCAAATGTCCTTTTTGGTCCGGGCGCTGCAATTTTGCCACACCGGGCTAAAACACCCGGCTTCGAGCTGGGGACCAGCACAGATCGACCTGGCTCGACGAGTGCCGCAGCAAGACAGGGTCTCGGGCCCCAGACGCGATTCTCCGCGATGCTGCAACGGCTTCGCGACGTCAGATCTCAGGGTCGGGAGCCGTTGCCGGGCCCTGGGCCATCAAAATGGACGTGGGGTGAAAAACTACGCCCAGGGCAAGCGGCCCAGACCTCCAAGGCTGCGGGCTGACCAGCAGAGCAGACCGGCGGGTGCCAGGGCGCGCGCGCGCCTCCACCCCTCCTCGGGGTCACGCTCGCTCACGATGCCAGGGCGGCCGGCGGGGCAGGACTCCTCGCCGCGCCTCCTTCCCAGACACTCGACGTCATGATTTTTCCACTACCTCGGCCTCCAAAGGTCTAGGCCCCCTCCCAGGGACTGGTTTTTCATCCTGAGTCGTTTGTTGACGGTCCCGAGGGCCGGTGAGGGGCGGTTCCTTTTCAAAATGTGGCTCTCGCCTTAGCGCCGCGCACACTCGTCGTTTAAATATGCAAGAGTTTCACGGAATCCCATGACCAACGTGCCAGACATGGTGTTGGAAGGATTCAGGATTATGCAGGCGCAATAGTTAGGTTGATTCGCTGTGTTGAAGCCCCAAGAACGGCGTTCTGGCATGATTCTGGATCGTCCAGACGCAGCAGTCACGTTGACACGTGGCGTTGAAATTCCGAGAACAATGTTCTGGCACGCTTCAAGATCTGCAAACTGTTGTCTTCCAACGAGGCAGATCCCTCACTGGAAATGAACCGTTGTACGGGCCTGCGAAGAGGGAGCTTGGAGGGAGGGTGAATTCCAACATCATTGATGACTCTTGGGTTTCCACTGGTCCTCCTCCTCCTCCTCCTCCTCCTCCTCCTCCTCCTCCTCCTCATCCAGGTGGCGGCGCAACACGGCGGAGAGGCGGAGAGGACGCACGAGCGGCGTCGTCGAGCGGTAGCTGCAGCGCGCCCTCCTTCGATTCCTGTCCCGCGTCCTCTCCTTCCCCCGCCTGCCCAGCCTGCCCTTACTGCCTCTTGGCGTCGCCGTCGTCGTCCCCGCCGGTGTCTGCATCCCGCTCGGGCTGCCGCAGCTGCTTCTGCTGCTGCTACTGCACAACTGGCGGACCTGCACACTCCCCTACCTCTGCTGCGATGCACCACTGGCGGACCCGCACGCTCCCCTGCCTCTGCTACGAAAGTGTGGCCATCACGCGACCGCACGCCATCCTGGCCTCGGCGGCGGGCGGCGCGCAGCCGAGCGCTGCTACTGCTGCTGCTGGTAATCCTCTCAATCCTCCTTCTGCTCTCTATCCAAGGCTGGCCTCTCCCACTCCCGTCAGGCTCGCCTTGCACCTCAGCGGACAGCGCGCTGCGCATCTCCGCCATCTGGTTCACTAACCCTTCCTGCACGAGCCTATGGGAGGCAGCGTCGCTGCAGAGGGGAAAAGCTGAAGTTGTACAAAGGTGATGAAAAGGGGTCGGCATCGCGCATGCGTTTTCAAGGGTCGGAGAACAACCTCGAGGTGCTCTCCAAGCAAAACAAGAGTAGGCCCCACGACCTGCACCAACAGGTGCGCTAGCGACATCAGGAACAGCCGTCTGTGGACAGAGCGACTGGCGGACAATGAAACAGTCGAAGAGGGAGCGAGCGTTTTGAGCAGCATAGCGGCAAGTGTCGCCGTCGATCTCGCGCCTAATTCACTGCAAGCATGCCGCTGTCGAAAGACGCTGCTGGACATGTTCGGTTCCGACATGTCTTTGGCTGACGTCCAGAGGGTGAACGTGAGAGCGAGGGGGAGGGCGAAGGCCACGGCGAGGGCGAAGGCTGAGGAAAGGAAGAAGGTGAAGTTGGAGCTGAATGTGAAGGTGGAGGTGGAGGCAGAAGGTGGAAGGTGGCGAACATGATGGTGGTTGCGAAGGCTCTGAAGAAGCGGAAAGTAGCGAATATGATCATGAACGCGACGGTGCTGCAGGTGGCAAACGTTCCAACCAAAAGTCGGTGAAAGTGGTCACCGCGATGAAGGTGGTGAACGACACGTGGTGAAACTGGTAAAGGTAACCACCTTGGTGGCGAAGGTGCGAAAGGAGAAAGTTGTAAGAGTGGTGCAGGTGGTGTGAATAGGGAGTGTGATGAAGATGGAGAAGCGGTGATCACAAGGGGCGAAGGCACGAAAGACAAATGACATCCAGTACTAAGGCTGGTGGGAAAAAACGGAGAGGGTGACAAAGATAGATGACGGGGAACAGAGCCACGGATGCAGAACAGGCGACGGGTTGTTTTTCCATACGAGCGCACGAAGTCCCAGATGTAATTCGCCGTCTGCTACTTGCCCTGCCTCCGGCGGGCAAATCGTGCCCCCTTAGTGGACACCAGGAACATCAACACTTGTCACGGCCTCGGTGCCTGTGGGCAATTTCCGCCACTGCTCGGGCGAACACTCTCCCAGCAAAGAGTGGCCCTGCTTTTGGAGGAGCGGACGAAAAAAGAAAGGGACGACCGCGATGCCTCACAAGGTACCCCGCGCACTCCGTGAAAGCGTGCGACGGGGCTGACATCAGGCTGCGATCCCCGCTCAGCTCGGTCTGAGTCGAAAGTGCCGCAGAGGCACGGGGGGAGGAGAGAAGGAGCAGACGGTCCAGGAGGATGAGGAGGACCGCGCCGAAGAGCACGCAGAGCATGGGCGCGCGAGCAAGAACACGCCGAAGAGTTTCCCAACGAGGAAAAGGTACACACGAAAGCACCACAGATGTCGTTTGCTTTGCAAGGGGGAGGACTGTGATCCTCTGATGGGGCCACGCAAATGCATGGGGGGCAGGAGAGGAGGAGCAGACGGTTGAGGAGGGCGAGGAGGAACCCGCCGAAGAGCACGCAGAGCATGTGCGCGCCACAAACGAAGTCACAGACGCACGCGCGAGACGCCCGCGCAAACTCAGTGGAAGCCTCGCGCGCGACCCCAGGAACACCGTGGGACTCCACCATCCCCCGTTCTCCTTCGTCCCCCCACCCTTCGCACGACGGGGCGCAACTGCCTGGAATCGCCGGCCTGCCGCCCCCCCCCCCTCGAGACAGCCTGCGTAACTCCGCCGCCGGCTCGTCGGCGGCCGGGGTTCGCCCGGGCTTGGACTCCTGATCGCACGCGGGGGGCAGATCTCTTTCTCTCTCCGCCTCCCTGCTCCTGACACTCGCCATCGCTCGGACGTCCATTCCCTGTGTTTTTTTCGGTTTCGTGCGTGGTTTTTTCGCCAAATGATCAAGGATGCTCCTCGATGGTCTTCGCCGAAGGAAAAATGCACACGTCCGAGCGATGCCAAGGACAGATCCCCCCCCTCCCCTGAACCCCGGCGCTCCTCGGGCCGATCCTGGACCCAGGATCTCTACGAGAGCGACGAAAAATTGCCACCACAAGGCAGCAGGTGCTAAAAAAACACCCTGGATGATCATCCTTACCGTCAGCGGCAGCAGCAGCAGCAGCATCATAAGCATCCGCGTCATCATAATACACGACAACATCAGCATCATCACCATCAGCAGCAGCATCAACATCATAGTTATCATCAGCATCATCAGCAACGGCATCTTCATCATCGACATCAGCAGCAGCAGCATTATCCGAATCATCATCAGAATCATCCACCGAATCCTCCTCATACTCCTCATGTCCACCATATTCCTCAAACTCCTACCCTTCATCAGCATCAGTGTAATAATTATCTTCATCCTCCTCCTCATCATCATCATCATCATCAGCATCATCATCATCTCATGACCATCGTCATTAACAACCCCATCATCATCGTCATCATCGTCATCACCATCGTCATCATCATAACATTCATCAAATTTATCAGCATCATCAATATCATCAGCATCATCAGCAGCAGCCTCATTGTCAAATTCTGCATCATCGGCATCATGGGCATCATCACCATGGTCGTCAACGCCATCGTCATGAACACCACCATCATTAGCATCATAACGATCATCATCATCATCATCATCATCATCATCGTCATCATCGTCACAATAACCATGCATGATGCATGCAGCGTTATGCACCATGTACGATGCGCCATGCACCAGGCACCAGGCACCATCTTTAGCACCACCACCCCCACCACCATCATCATCACCATCAGCATCACCATCTTGATCATCACCATCATCAACGTCACCATCATCATCACCATCGTCAACTCCATCGTCAGCATCGTCACCGTCGTGGTCACAATCAGAATCACCACCATACGCACAACAGCCGCCACCATCATCACCGAAACCACCCTCATCACCATCAACACCACCACCACCATTTTCATCACCACCACCAACACCACCACCACCGCCACCTACACCGATACCCTGTACCACCACCAGCACCACCAACACCACCACCACCACCGCCCCACGATTACCGTCACCACCAACCCCATCCGCCATTTCCACCACCATCATCAACACCACCATCATCATCAGCACCCCGCTCACCACCATCACCGTCATCATCATCAGCAGCATCACCATCACCAAAACCATCACCACCGTGCACCATCATCATCAGCACCATCAACACCACCAGATTAACATAATAGGCATCAGCTTCACCATCATCGTCAGTATCATCATCATCATCATCATCATCCTGAACGTCACCGTCGCCATCATCAACGTCGCCGCCCATGGCACAATCATATCATCAGCAACATCATCGTGGTCATCACCATCGCCCCCTCTTTTGACAGCTCTCTCCTCAGGAATGGCGCCCCTTGGCGGGGACCAGGGTCGGTCGACTCAAGAGGCGAGCGCGACATGATCCTCCTCATCGCACCCACAGCAAATCGTGGTCACCGAGCAGGTGCACGTATAAGTATTTGCGAAAGAGACAAATAAGCCGCACGCGCTCAAAAATGCCATGGCAAAGAAAACGGAAGGGGAAATAATAGGGAATGAAAATATAGAGCGACGTGCCCAACCCAATTCTGGTTTGGTCCACAGTGATGAGAGGCCGCCGTGCAGGAGGGAAAACGAAGGGGCACCCATGACGTCACGTCCGCCGATATACACCCCCAAATGTTCCCTGGGCACCCCTTATACTTCAGCCGTGAGCGCTTGCAGGCATTTGGCCTGCTCGCACCACTGAAGCGTGGTTGGTTGGGGAGCATGGAGCAGGGACGAGGATTTCGGACTCATCCGCGCATGTAAGACCACACCCCACGCCAGCAACCGCGCACGCACGCATGCCCCCACGCACGCACGCACGCACGCACGCACGCACATTTTTTTGATTCGCGGGTCGAGAGCGCACCTCTTCCGGTCGAAGCTAAGCGGGCCGCGCGAAGCTTGAATTAACCAGAGATGGGGAAGGAAAAGGGGGGCGCAGCCTCGGAACGAGACCAGGAGGAGGCAAAGCCTCGGGATCAGGCGGTGCCGAAGCCGACGCACTTGCAAAGGAGCGCCTTTTCCATGAACCGGGTGGCGGAGCACCTGTTGAAGCAAAATGCTGTGGTTGGTGCTGCCGTCAACGGCACATCATTTACACCAGCCTCGAGTTGGCGGCGGGAGGTGACGCGCCTTGCAACCAAGCTGCGTCAGGGATCACAGAGAGAGAGGAGCGCGACGCTGAGACGAAGCGCAACGTTGCGCCATCGTACAGGTAGCAGGAGCGAGCGCCTCAGGGCCGTGGTGGTCCATGGTGCCACGGGTCCAGGGTACAGGAGCCGCAGATACTTGAGGCGCGGCAGGTAGGACACGCCAAGAACATGCCGCCTGTGACGACCGACAAGGTGCCGGTGCACTGGAGCAAGAGGTGGAACGGATCCGATCCTGCAGGGGCGAGCGCTCAGGACCGGGCCGAAGCCGCGCTGTGCCAGGGCGCTGCCGTTGTCCGCGGAGCCCAGGGCCGGGCCAGGGCCACGCTGCGCCCAGGACCGCAGGGCCGCCGAGGCGGCAGAGTGAATCAGGACCAGCGCGTGCTAGCGCCGGGCACCGGGCCGAAGCCGCGCTGTGCCGGGCGCGGCCGCCATGGTGGCGGGATGGGGGGCAGCGGGCGGGGAAAGGGAGAAGATAGGCCAGCGAGGCGGGCCTGCCAGCGCCGCAGAAACCCCGCGCCGGCACCCGGGCGGCCCACCCAGCCACCGAAGGCAGGTGGAACCTGCGGAATCAGGAGGGACTAACCGTCCCTATATCAGGTGTGAAGGAGGGAGGGAAATGGGAGACAGGGCCAGGCGTAGTAGAAGGCCACGAACAGAGAGCGCCAAGAGACCTTGCCAGGGACAGGAGGGGCGGTCGGGGCAAGGCGCCCTAGGCCGCGAGATCCGTCAGGAGACGCACGCACGCACGCACGCACGCACGCACGCACGCACGCACGCACGCACGCACACACACACACACACACACACACACACACACACACACACACACACGCACACACACACACACACACACGCGCACACACACACACACATACACACGCACGCGCACACACACACACACATACACACAGACACACAAACACAGACACCCACACATACACACACACACACACACACACACACACACACACACACACACACACGCGCACCATGCACCCAAACACCTCCGCCTCGCCACCGCCACCCCCCCACCCCCCCCAGAAACCTCTCGCGACAGGGATGGAACATAATGCCACCCCAGTATTGTCCTCAATGGAAATGAACCGTTGTAGGGGCCTACGAAGACGGAGCTTGGAGGGAGGGTTTACTCCAACATCGTTGATGACTCTTGGGTTTACACTGGTCCTCCTCCTCCTCCTCCTCCTCCTGCTCTTCATCCCCCTCCTCCTCCTCTCCTCCTCAAGCTCCTCCTTTGTTTATTTTTCTTCCTCTTACTCCGCAGCCTCCTCCTCGTCCTCCTCGTCCTCCTCCTCCTCCGCCTCCGCCTCCTCCTCATCCTCATCCTCCTCCTCTTCCTCCTCCTCCTTCTCTTATTGTTCCTCATGTTCCGCCTCCTCCCTCCTCCTCTCCTCCTTCCCCCTCCTCTCCTCCTCCTCCTCCTCCTCCTCTCCTCTCATCATCATCATCCTCTTCCTCCTCCACCCCCTCCTCCTCTTCCTCCTCCTTTTCCTCCTCCTCCTCCTCCTCCTCTTCCTCCTCCTCCTGCTCCTCCGTTCCTTCCCTTTATAAATGATTTATCCCTGTCGCACCCCGTGGCCAGTGTTTAGAACGGGTCGGGCGTTTCGCCGAAGCTTTCCTGAACATCTACGACTTTGAAGCTTCCAAACCATGATAATAGCTTCACGGGCCGCGCACAATCGTGTCAAGAAACTACACAAGCTTAACGGACTGAAGGCGGGTGGTCTTCAATATGTGGTTCTCGCCTTGACGCCGCGCACACTCGTTTCAACAAATTGCAGGAGTTCCACGGTTTGATAGCGGGTGGCTTTCAAAATGTGACTCTCGCTTTGGCGCCGCGCACATTCGCTTTAAGAAGTTGCAAGAGCGTCACTGGTTGAGGGCGGTTCATTTCCAACATGTGGCTCTCGCTATGGCGACGCGCACATTCCATTTAAGCACTTGCAAGAGTTTCGGGGATTCCCATGATCAACATACCAAAAGTGGTGTTTTGGAAGGGCTCAGGGTTATGAGGGCGCAACAACTACGTTGATTCGTTGTGTTGAAATGTCAGGAATGGTTTTCTGGTACGGCTCAAGATCGTCAAGACGCAACAGTCAGGTTGACCCGTGGCGTTGGAATTCCAAGAACATTACATTGGCATTCTTCAGGGTCTTCAAACGGTCGTCTTCCAACACAGCTCCCTCAGTGGAAATGAAAGTTTACTCCAACATCGTTGATGACTCTTGGGTTTCAACTGCTCCTCCTCAACCTCCTCCGTCTCCTTCTCTTCCTCCTCCTCCTCCTCCCCCCCTCCTCCTCCTCCTCCTCCTCCTCCTCCTCCTCCTCCTCCTCCTCCTCCTCCTCCTCCTCCTCCTCCTCCTCCTCCTCCTCCCCCCCCCTCCTCCTCTTCCCCCAAGCAACACTGGCACGAGCGGTTGCACGGAGGGAAGGGGGCCCCTTGCCGCATTTTGCGCGGATCCAATAGGCCAGCCCCCGCGTCTTCACGCGGTGCTCGAGGCCTGCCCCGCCCCCCATCGC